AAAAAATATCCTCCTTTTCTCTCTGTTACTGTATTCCTTCCTATCTCTCTCTAGCTCAATTTAAAACGTGGATTGCATATCAGATTTAACTGTGGGCAAACAAAGTCAAATACATTAGAGACTTGGAATGCATGACTTTTTCTCCAGCAATCCAGAATGAGTATATATAGTCTTTTTCATAATTTCCTAGGAAGCCACAAGCAAGTAATATATGCTTCAGTAAAGATGGTACAGCTGAACTATGCTTAAAATAGCCCAGAAATTCAAAGAGCAAAATTTAGTTCCTTTGAACTGGTGCCTTGATGTATGTGGTATGCTCAGAAATATGGGAGGAGCTCTACCAAATTTATTTAGCTCTGATCATCCAGTCATCCTGTGCTGGGATATTTTTTTCTTTTCAAACAGAAAAACTCTCAAATTATATAGCATTTTAGATCTGAAAGAGACTTTATAAAGCAAATAAGACAGTATTTTAAAAAGTGAATGTCTGAATTTCCTGGTGGTACTGTAACAGAAATATCACAGGTAAGTGGCTTTAAAGAATAGAAATTTATTTTCTCAGACCCAAATTCAGGTCACAGTTGTATGGAAAGGTTCTCTCTCTCTTTGTCAGTTCTGGGGGAATGTCCTTGTCTCTTTCTGCTTCTGTAGCCCAGTATTCCTTGGTTTATTCCTTGATGCAGCATTTAATTTGCCCCCATCCCCCATTTGTCATCTCTGTGCCTAATCTGGTCTTTTTATAACCCGAAAGAGATTAGGTTTAGGGCACACCCTACACGGGTAATGGCTCCATTTATATAAATAAAAGAGTCCTGCTGTTGGTTAATGCGCTGGGTTGCAATGTTAGTTTGAACTGCAAGGTTGCTGGTTCAAGCTCAGCTACTCCTTGGAAACCCTTTACAGGGTTGCTATGGGTCAGAACTGACTCAATGACACTTAACAACAACTATATAAAGAAACCCCATAAAGGACTACATCTACAGGTATGCCAAACACACTCCATGAAGTCAATACCAAATCAGAGTGACTCTATAGGACAAAGTTGAACCGGTCCTTGAGTTTCTGAGACTAACTCTTGACAGGAACTGAGAGCTTCATCTTTCTCTCAATGAGTGGCTGGTAGGTTTGAACCACTGACCTTGCAGTTAGAAATCCTACACTTAATCCACTGTACCACCAGGTCTCCTTTCACGGTATAGATGGGTAGGCTTCCAACACCTTTTTAGGGTGGGGGCACAATTCAATCTGTAACAGTGAGTTTGTCAGTCAAACATCAAAATCTGAAGTATCTGTTGATCATATTAAAAATGCATATTCCTTGAACCTACCTCTCGCTGGAGTAAATAGACCTACCTAAGACTTGCAATAGACCTATCGAATAGGTAGGTGGTGGCTTAGGAATTTGAACAGTTTATAAACTCTCCAGATGATTCTATTGCATTCATACATTACAGAATAACTGTTGCATTCATACATTACAGGATGCATTATTGAATTCAGACATTTAGCGTAGTTGTTACGAATCGGGCTGCGAACCGCAAGGTCAACAGTTCGAAACTACCAGCTGTTCTGCGGGAGAAAGATGAGGTTTTCTGCTCCCGTAAAGACTTACAGCTTCGGAAACCCTGTACAGGGTGGCTATGAGTCGAAATCGACTCCACAGCACATAACAACAACAACAACAACATTTTATAGATAGATGTAGAATAAGATCCGATTTTTTTAATGTTTTATTGTGAATTATGTGATAGTTTACATGGGAGACCAATAGTTTTACATTTATCCTATCCTATATTGTTTCATTGCCATGGTTACAATCCCCTCCATCATGCATCATCAACCAACCAAAGGGTATACCCTGCAAGCCTGACACCCACCCCCAGCCCCCACCCCGTCTTCAGCACACAGTCACTCTCCCTCTCTGTGTCTAAAGTCCCCAGCTGCTCCATCGCTCCATGTCATCGTCTCTGCCTCCTTCTCAGGCATCATTGTTTCTCTGGGTGGGGTCCCGCTCTCCGCTCTTCTCCATTGATGGTCCCAGGGATCTCCGCTCCTAGACTGAAAAGTTAATCACTCCCCTCTTTGCTACAAAAAGTCTACCTTTACATTTCCAACCCTCACAATCAGTCCTGATAACAATTATTCACTACTGTATCACCAGAGACCTATCCGCATTTCATTTCATCAGCCCCGCCTAGACAGATTGGATACTACTCAGTGGAGATTCTACCTTCCTCTACACCCTCTGGATCTAGGTTCCCTCTTGAAAGCTTGTACATCAGTCACTTCTTGCCTGTAGCCCCCCTCCCCCCATTTTGGGTAGCCAATGTCCAAGTTGCCCATCCCTGTCTACTCTGTGTATGGAGGGGCTGGGAATGATCCTTGCTATAAAGATTTGTTCCCTCTTTTGAGGTATTGCATCCATAGGTGTAGGTCAAGTTCATCAAATTGTATCAGATTACTCTTTTTTTCCTCTTCTTTCT